TTAGCACGGCCAATCCACCCTAACCTGCACATCCCTGGGTACTATGGGGCAATTTAGCACGGCCAGCCCACCCTAGCCTGCACATCTTTGGACTGTGGGAGGAAACCGGAGCTCCCGGAGGAAACCCACGCAGACAGCGGGAGAATATGCAAACTCCACACAGACAGTCGCCCAAGGGTGAGGTCGAACCCGGGTCCCTGGCGCCGTGAGGCAGCAGCGCTAACCACAGTGCTAACTCATCACCTGTCTCCTCAATGCCTGTCCACCAGCTAAACTTCCTGAGAGTGATGACATACTGTAATTGCCTGGGTGAGTGCAGCTCCAACAACACACATGAAGTTTGACACCATTTAGGATAAAGGAGGCCCCTGGATTAGTGTGCCATCTATCACAAACACATATGAAGTGGGAGCAGGACTAAGCCATTTGACCCCAAATCTGCTCCATCATCAAATAAGATCATGACTCACTTAATTATTCCATAGTCCCGTCTACCCCTGATAACCTTCATCCTCTTTACTTATCAAGAATCTATTTACTTAGGTCATCCTCTATTTGGCAAATACCATCATTGGTGTTTCCCATCAGTGGTAACTGTGGAGAAGGATGTGGAAGCTACAGAACTTGGGGAAATAAATAGCGATGTCTTGAAAAGTCTCTGTATTACAGAGGAGGAGGTGCTGGATGTCTTCAAACACATAAAGGTGGATAAGTCCCCAAGAGCCTAGAACTCTGTGGGAAGCTACGGAAGTGATTTCTGGGCCCCTGGCTGAGATACTTGTATCATCCATAGCCACAAGTGTGCTGCTGGAAGACTGGAGGTTGGCTAACGTTGTACCATTATTTAAGAAAGGTGGTAAGGAAAAGCCAGGGAACTATTAACCGGTGAGCCCGATGTCAGTCATGGGTAAGTTGTTGGAGGGAATCCTGAGGGACAGGATTTACATGTATTTGGAAAGGCAGGGACTGATTAGTGATAGCCAACATGGCTTTGTACGTGGGAAATCATGTCTCACTAACTTGACTGAGTTTTTTGAAGAAGTGACAAAGAAGATTGATGAAGGCAGAGTAGTAGGCACTGTCTGCATGGACTTCAGTAAAGCGTTTGACAAGGTTCACCATGGTGGACTGGTTAACGAGGTTAGGCCACATGGAATACAGGGAGGACCAGCAATTTGGATACAGAACTGACAGAAGGTGGTGTGGAAGGGTTGCTTTTCAGACTGGAGGCCTGTGACCAGCGGTGTGCCACAAGGATTGGTGCTGGGTCCACTGCGTTTTGTCATTTATATAGGAGGTATGGTTAGTAAGTTTGTAGATTACACCAAAATTGGAGGTGTAGTGGACTGCGAAGGAGGTTACCTCAGAGTTAAATGGGACCTTGATCAGATGGGCCAATGGGCCAATGGGCCAATGGGCCGAGGAGTGGCAGATGGAATTTAATTTAGATAAATGTGAGGTGCTGCGTTTTGGAAAGGCAAATCAGGGCACGACTTATGCACTAAATGGTAAGGTCCTGGGGAGTGTTGCTGAACAAAGAGACCTTGGAATGTAGGTTCATAGTTCCTTTGAAAGTGGAATCGCAGGTAGACAGGGCGGTGAAGAAAGTGTTTGGTACGCTTGCCTTTATTGGTCAGAGCATTGAGTATAGGAGTTGGGAGGTCATGTTGTGGCTGTACAGGACATTCGTGAGACCACTTTTGGAATACTTGGAATTCTGGACTCCCTGCTATTGAAAAGATGTTGTTAAACTTGAAAAGATTCAGAAAAGATTTACAAGGATGTTGCTGGGTTTGGAGGGTTTGAGCTATAGGGAGAGGCTGGATAGGCTGGGGTTATTTTCCCTGGAGCGTCGGAGGCTGAGGGGTGACCTTAAAGAGGTTTATAAAATCATGAGGGGCATGGATAGGATGAATAGCCAAGGTCTTTATCCCCAGGGTACAGGAATCCAAAACTAGAGGGGCATAGGTTTAAGGTGAGAGGGGAAAGATTTAAAAGGGACTTAAGAGACAACTTTTTCCCACAAGAGGGTGGTGTGTGTATGGGACGAGCTGCCAGAGGAAGTGGTGGAGGCTGGTACAATGACAACATTTAAAAGGCACCCGGATGGGTACGTGAATAGGAAGGGTTTAGAGGGATATGGGCCAAATACTGGCAAATGAGACTAGATTAATTTAGGATATCTGGTCAGCATGGACGAGTTGGACTGAAGGGTCTGTTTCCATGCTGTTTGACTTTATTAATTAACAAAGCCACCCCACCACCTTTTCCTAGCTTTCTGTCCCTCCTTAATGTCATGTACCCTTGCATATTGAAGTCCCAGTCTAAGTCATCCTACAGCTAGTTCTCTGTATGTCAGATCATATTAATTTCTGTTTGCCCTCTCGGCTTATCAGTTTTGTTTTGAAGCTATGTGCATTCAGATACAGAGCCTACATTTTGTCCTTTCAATACTTTTGTAAACTCTAGATTATCTGTTGATTCACTCATTAACTTGTACTCTCTATCCTTTTCTATTATGGTCTGTTTATTATTCCCCATAATAACTCTTTTCTTTTGCCTCTTTGATTAACCACATCTTCCCAAATTGGACCCTTTTTCCTGCTGGAACAGGCTCCACTTTCCCCAGTACTCGTCCTGGAGAATCCACTTCTCTCACATTGGTCTTTGAGCCACGAATTCATTTCTCTCTTGATGTTTGCTGAATGGCAATTTGTACGAGGCTTGGGTACGAATCCAAGATTAGTACCTTTGAGGTTCTGCTTCTTGATTTGATGCCTGGCTCCTCACATGATTGAGCAGAACCTTTCTTCATAGCTCTGTCCATGTCATTGTTTATATGTATTTACCACCGATGAGCAGACCCTCCCACTGCAAATTCTTTTCTAGCCCTGAGGAAACATCTCAAACATCCCAGCCTATCCATATCTCTCCCCATAACTCAAACCCTGGTAAATCTCTTCTGAACTCTCTCCAGCTTAATAATATTCAGTGGAGCCACACTCTTCCATGGAGAGAACAATGCCAATCCCCCTCAGGCATATGTCCCTTGCTTCCACTGACTGTCCTAGAAATGGTTGTCTGAGATGGTGTAGAGGGAGTTTTGCAGTGCATCAAACTCTGTGCTGGGCAGTTAAAATTGAAATTAAATCCCATCGCCACTTCAAGAATACGATTAAAACTGGACACTGTTTGTTACTGGATTCCCTTTTCTGTCTGCAGGTAACCTCTGAGGGCTTCATTCTGGGACCCAACAGATTGATCGGAGATTCAGAGGCAAGCTGAAGGATGAGTACACTGATGGGAGACACTGCCATTCTGTTCACATCCCCCACCCACCCTGACATCTGAACATTTGGTTTTATTCACTCGTGGGACATCGCTGGCCAGTCAGCATTTGCTATCCGCCCCTAGTTGTCCTGGGGAAGGTGGTGGTGAGCTGCCTTCTTGAACTGGTGCAGATAGACCCACAGTGACATGACACCTGAAACAGCCCAATATGAATCACCATGATATTCAGTCCAAAGGCATTGCACCAAACTGTGGAACTGTGCAGGTTAATGTTCCCCAGGACAGTCTGGGCAAGTGCACCAGGAGCTATCCTTGCTGTAGTGACCATGTTCCAACAGCACAATGAGCTGCTACACAACAGATGATTAGGATCAATTAAGACTCTGGAAAGATGCAGATGCATTCCTCCTCCTCCACCCCTCCTTACCCCATTCCACACTTGCACACACACACATACACATTCTCTTACATACATGCACGCACGCACGCACACATTGAATCATACACACACGCATGTTCGCGCGCGCGCACACACACACACACACACACACACACACACACACACGTCATCGAGTCATAAAACACAGAACCAGACCCTTCGGTCCAACTTGTCTGTGCTGACCAAGTTTCCGAAACTAAACTAGTCCCACTTGCCTGCGTTTGGCCCATATCCCTCTCAACCTTTCCTATTCATGTACCAAATACCTATTAAATGTTGTAATTGTCCCTGCCACTTCCTCTGGCAGTTCATTCCAGACATGTACCACCCTCTGCGTAAACTAGTTGCCCCTCAAGTCCATTTTAAATCTTTCTCCCTCTCACCTTAAACCTTTGCCCCTCAAGTTTTGAATTCCCCTTACCCCGGGGAAAAGACTTTTTTTATTCATCTTATCTATGCCCCTTGTGATTTTGTAAACCTCTACAAGGTCACCTCTCAATCTCTGATGGTTCAGGGAAAAGAGTCCCAGGCAATCCAGCCGCTCCTTATAACTCAAACCTCCCAGTCTCAGTAGCATCCTGGTAAATCATCTTACCAAACCTGGGTTCCTGCCCAAAAAGTGTCTCTGTCCCTTCCCAGCTGCCACTCGCCAGTCCAATGCACAGCCTGGTTCAGTGCATGCCTTGCTCCGTTGGGAGTTTTACAGCCATCTTACAGGACTCAGTCTAACAGGGTCAAATTGTGTTGTGAGATGCTGCTGAGCCACTGCCAGTCCAGGTCACCAGTGATTTGGGAGCCTGTTTGCTGCTTGTCAGTGCCGTAATAAAAGACTGTCCACCCCGCAATAGCGTGCTGTCTCATGCCGTGCTTGCGAGTTGGATCATTCACACAGAGATTGAATCATGAGCTGAACTTCCTATCCCGTTCAGAAACAAGCGCTTGCGTTTCCCTCAGCGTCTTTCGTGACCTCAGGACGTCCAGGAACTCTTTCACCGCCAGTGAGATACTCTGTGCCAACCATGATCCCAAACTAAACTAGTTCCACCTGCCAGCTCTTGGCCCATATCCCTCCAAATATTTCTTATTCATGTCTTTTAAATGTTGCGACTGTATCCTCATCCACCGCTTTCTCTGGAAGTTTATTCCACGCACAAACCACTCTGCAAAAAAAAATTGTCCCTCATGTCTTTTTTTTAAATCTTTCCCCTCACACCTTAAAAATGTGCCCCCTTGTCTTGAAATCCCCCACCCTAGGGAAAAGACATCTGCCATTCAGCTTATCTGTGCCCCTAATGATTTTATAAACCTTTATAAGGTCACCTCTCAACCTCCTACGCTCCAGTGAAAAAAGTCCCAGCCTATCCATATCTCTCCCCATAACTCAAACCCTGGTAAATCTCTTCTGAACTCTCTCCAGCTTAATAATAATCTTCCTTTAGCAGGGAGGCCAGAACTGGAGACTGTACACCAGAAGAGGCCTCACCAACGTCCTGTACAACCTCAACATGACGTCCCAGCTCCTATACTCAAAGGTCTGAGCAATGAAGGCAAACGTGCTAAACACCTTCTTAACCATCCTGTCTACCTGTGACGCAAACTTCAAAGAATTATGTACCTGAACCCTTAGGTCTCTCTGTTCTACACCACTGCCCAAGGCCCTACTTTTAATTGTATAAGTCCTGCCTTTGTTTTTTTTCAAGATGTAATTTTTTTTTTTCCCAAAATCAGTGCCTGATCTATTTCTTAACTTTGTCCACCCCACACTAATTCGGTCACCCTTAACTCCCACACACCCACCAGAAATCTAAATATCCCAGTGATTCGAGTTTCTGATTCTAAGTCCTAGCAGGTTTTCTTTTGGTGGGTGGGAGAAAGTTGCAGATTTCCTCTGCCCTCTCTGTCGGAAAGCGGTTCCTGATATCTCCCGCTCAGTGGCTACGGATCTCAACTTGAGGATCTGCCACGCACCACCGTTTCTGGATGCCCCACCCCCCAATCTGCCACTGAATAGGGTCGATAGAGAAACTATTTAATCTGAGAAGCATAGAGCAAAAGAGCAGGAGTTGGCCATACGGCCCTTCAAGTCTGCTCTGCCGTTCAATGTGATCATCTGACTCAGCCCCCTATTCCTGCTTCCCCCTGCTTCCCAAAACCCTGTGATCTCTTTAGCCCTAAGAACTATATCTAACCCCTTCTTGAAAACATTCAATATTTTCGCCTTGACTTCTTTCTGTGGCAGAGAATCCCAGAGGTTCCCCACTCTCTGGGTGAAGACATTTCTCCCCATCTCAGTCCTAAATGGCCCACCCCACAATCCTTAGGCTGTGACCCCCTGGTTCTGGACTCCCCGGGTCATCGGGAACATCCTTCCTGCATTGACCCTGTCTGGTCGTGTTAGAGTTTTATAGGTTTCTCTGACGTCCCCCTCATTCTTCTAAAAACTCCAGTGAATACAGTCCTAACTGATCCAGTCTCGCCCTTGATTATCTTATACCCCTCGATTAGATCACCTGTTAAATCTTTGCAACCAAGGGAATATGAGCCTGGTCCCGACCCGAAACGTCAGCTTCCCTGCTCCTCTGATGCTGCCTGGCCTGCTGTGTTCCTGCAGCCCCACACTGTGTTATCTCAGATTCTCCAGCATGGGCAGCTCTTACTGTCTCTGAGCCTGGTCTGTGCTCCCTCTCGGCCAGGATCGATTTGGGTTTAATGCTGACAGTTTTCTGTCTCACTCCTGCCACAGCATCTTGCAGTCGAACAAAAGATTTGGAGATGTGGGAGGTTACGCTCAATGGCACGGATCGGGAACAAGGTGTGGTAAAGCTGGCGCTGTGCGCCCCCTGTAGGTCATCCCACAGCCCATTCAGTCATGGGCATCGTTACAGCCAAACTTAATCAGGTTGGCTGGTACTCTCTCATGAGACGGGTCCTCTGCCGTTGGGCACTGATGTCCCTGTTCCCTCGTCCTCCCAGGAGTTGGGCGTAGAGGTCCTGGGAACAAGAGGCACAGAGCAGCTGTGACCACATCCTGTCAAGGAAGGGTCAAAGAGAGGGAAACGGGAGGGTGGGAGAATGTCCTCACTGCCTTCTGCAGGAAAACAATGCAGATCAGTCTGCCCCAGGATGTAGACTTGGGGGGGCACAATGAAGAGGTTATGTTTCATTTCCAAACTCCTGGAGGATTCACAACGGACGGAGCAGTTTTACTGGTTGGGAAATACGGCAGCTAGTTTTGTGCACAGCACGATCTCACTCGATAATGTCCCAGATACTTGGCTTCTAATAATAATTTAGGGCTGAACTCCATCAAACACTCCCAGGACAGGGACAGCACGGGGTTAGATACAGAGTAAAGCTCCCTCTACACTGTCCCCCATCAAACACACCCAGGACAGGCACAGCACGGGGTTAGATACAGAGTAAAGCTCCTTCTACACTGTCCCC